CTACCGTTTTATCAATTATTTTTAATTTAAGTTTTTCCTAGTTTTTAGTTTATTGATAGTATCTTCGACAGCTTTGAAAAATAATAATAATACGTCGTTTTTAATAAATTTTTTGAATTGCGAAAAATAAATTACATAATGAACGAGATAAAATATCGCATTTCAATAATAATTCTTTTGCACAATTTCATATCAATTATAGTAAATACATTTATTTACTTTACTATTGAATGACACCGAAGTTGCGAGATTTCATATTTCTAATAAATCGAAGAATGGAAGAAAACAGTATTTTTAAGTGTGTAAACATTTATTTCCTAGTTGAGTGCTTTCGGCTTATAAAGCCATCTTCAGAGCTATATTACAGTAGAATACTAAAATAAATAAACTAATTTAAAGTTTTTAAAAAGTGCTACTACTTAGGATAGATTTTGGTGAACTAGGATTTAAGTTTTCAAGCCTCGAAAATGCCTATTTTTGCATTATTCAGATTTTAAAATCGCTTATAACTTAAAAACTGTCATGTAACAATAAAACACTGAAAACTTTGTTTTCAAACTTCCACAAAATTTATTTTAAATATTATCACTACAGCTGTTTCGGCTGATTGCCTTTCTCAAGTGATCTATTTTGGCTTGGGTTTACAAATTTATAGTCTCTAATGAAATAGGTTGAGGAGGGGAGAACTGTTTGTCTCAAGTTGGTCATTCAGAATTATATCTGTGTTTTTTAATTTGTTGATTTCCATAGATTCTAACAAAGATAGCTTAAGGCCTTTATTTTGAATGTGAAGAATTTTAAATTTGTCATTAAAAGAATGATTATGATCTAGAAGGTGAAGTGCGTATGTCGAATCTGTTTTTCTATTCTTGAAAGCCCTTTTATGTTCTGCTATTCGTTTATCAAAGTTTCTACCAGTTTGACCGATGTAAGTTTTTGGGCAGTCGCCACATTGGAGTTTGTATACACCACTATTTAAGTGTTTTTTATTTTGGCTCTTGTTATTTTTAACATATTTGCCTAGGTTGTTATTTGTTCGGAAAGCTGGTGTTATTCCTTTCTTTTTTATGTGTTTGGCAATTTTTGTTGTTATTTTGCCTGTATATGTAATCGAGCAGAAGGTACTGGGTTTTTTCTCTGGTGTGGAAATACTAATTTCAGGGCTTTCTTGTGTAGTTTTTGATTTAACAATTTATTAATTGTTTGTTCGTTGTATCCGTTGTTTACTGCTATTTGTTTAATTATATTTAATTCTGTCTCAAAGTTGTCTTTTGACATCGGAATTTCTGTTAATCTATGTAACATACTATGATAAGCTGCCAGTTTATGTTGTGTTGGATGGGATGACGAATTGTGTATAGTCGTGTCAGTATGGGTAGGTTTATGAAATATGGAGAAGTCATGTTTGTTTTGAAGTCTGCTAATTTTTAAATCTAAAAAGTTTATGGATTGATTTTGTTCTGTTTCTATTGTAAATTGAATATGACTATGAACTGAATTAATATATGATAAAAATTGGTCGAGTTGCCTGTTAGTTCCTGTGAAACATACCAGTACGTCGTCTACGTATCTCCACCAATATAAGAACTGTTTGAATACGGGATGTTTTGAAATCTTTGTCTCTAGATGATCCATAAAAATATCTGATAACAATGGGCTTAGAGGATTACCCATTATAAGTCCTGCACTGTTATTTGTATATATTTTATTATTAAATTCAAAGTAGTCCTGGTTTATGCAAACTTCAAGAAGATGTAAAATTTCAGATGTAATTATTGGATTTGTACTATTTTGGTCTAAAAGGTTTTTTACTAGAATAAAAGTTTCTGTAGGAGGGATACTAGGAAAAAGATTTTTTACGTCAAATGAAATTAATCTGGAATTGTTAGGTAATTGAAAATGTTGTATTTTATTAACTAGGTCTATTGTATTTTTTATGGTAAATTTAGGTGAAAATTTAGTGTGGTCTAAAATAATCTCTAACAGTTTTTTTGAAATTTTATATGACGGAGCTGTATAAAAAGAAACTACAGGTCTTATTGGGAGATCCGGTTTGTGTAGTTTAATGAAAGAATATAATTTAGGAGGCTGTGGGTTCATAATATTGAGGTATTTCTGTTCTATTGGATTTAGTATTGATTTTGAATTTTCTAACGCTAGCTTAATTTGTTTTTGATATTTTTCTGTCGGATCTTTGTGTAAAGTTTCAATATTTTGATTATTTAAGAATTCTATTGTTTTGTTATTATATTCTATTTTATCTATAGCAATAGTAGTGTTGCCTTTGTCTGCTTTTGTAAACACGATGTTGTTTTCTATTGATTTATTTTTAATTGAAATTGCTGTTTTATTCTCTTTGTAACAGGAATTGTTAGTTTCACTACACACATCTCTAATAGATTTGGCAATTATACTTTTTTCGATATTGTTAGCAGTTTTGTTTAACGCTACTTCACATTCTACACCTAAATATTCTAGAGTTCTCTCATTATTATGTTGGGGCAAGTTGTGTTTAAATCCTTTCTCTAAAAGTTGTATCTCGCTGTTACTAAATTTAGTATCTGTTAAATTTATAAATCTATTGAAAAAAGTATGGTTCGAAAAACTTTTTGTATAATGAATATTGGGTTTTTTACTATTGGAAATTAGATTATTTAGTTTTTTACACTGTGTATTGAATTTTTTATCTATTATATTATCTATATTAATTCTCACGTTAGAATCTAGGATGTCAAATTCTATATTATTTAATCTATAATTTAATTCTGAATGACATACCTTAAGATAAACAGATATTATATCCCGTTTGTTGTATTGGTATTTTCTGTCTTGTTTAAGCCATCTGGTCTGACCGTGATGAATCCCTTTTTGTGCAGCGGGGCTGTGGTTTTTGGTTTTTAACTGAATATACTTCGGGAACACTTTATTTTGTAAACACATATTTAAAAACCAGATGTTTTGTGTCGCCAGTCTACGTTTCAGATGTAATCTTGAAAACAATATGGTCAAAAGTCCTGTACTGACTTCTTTTAAAAGAAAGATTGCCTTGAGAAAGGCAATCAGCCGAAACAGCTGTAGTGATAATATTTAAAATAAATTTTGTGGAAGTTTGAAAACAAAGTTTTCAGTGTTTTATTGTTACATAAAATGAATTTCCATCAAGTAACGGTCGAATCCATCAATTATTTAAAAACTGTCAGCTTTGGAGAAAAATGACAAGAGACCTTTTTTGTTTGACAATAGAGACACAAAAACTTAAAAAATATTTTTCGGAGCAAAAAACGTGATTTTTGGAATTTGTTTAAAAAAAATTTTTAAACAATTTCTGCACAGCAATTTTGCCCGGCATCCTTCAGATTTGTTTAAAGGGGACATTTTTGAACAAGAATCGACAAAGAAACCGAATCAGAAACATTTTTCCGCGTCTCACAACATGGACTAATTCTGCTTTGCGAGCCTGTAAATTTGTACTAATGTATCTAACTTCTAGCTTTGTAAAAGTTTTTGTTGGTATAATGACAAAACAGAATCATTTCGACCGGTAAAAAATCCATTTTACAACCATTATAAACTTTGCCAAGCTTATCATGAATTTTTAGTCGATCGTAATCTAAAATTAATATACACTAATTGAAAAAGGTTCCATTACTCGGATAAGTATCATAAATATTTTTATATAATACCAAACTATACTCTGGCTTTAGAGACACAATAATGCATGATTGGGGAATGGTTAGACAAAAAATTATTTATTTTTAGGTTATATTGGTGTCATTATAATACAATTTCATTTGTCTGTCGCCGAAAATTTTCCCTGATTGCTTATTGTATTCCTTACACAAACAACTTTTTGTAATTTCTATAATAAAAAGTACTAATTTAGAGATGTATCGAATCCTCATTTAACACGTGTTTAGTGTTAATACCTTATTAACAAGTATTTAATAGTGTTTTATCAAATCGGTCTATTATTTGGAACGATTCTTGAACGAATAATAATCAAGATATAATAAAAACAAAATACAAAATTTATTATTTGTAAGTTATGGTATGTCGGAGGTATTTATATACTTCTCTTAGATCGTTACTATGAAGAAGCTGTTTAATTTTCTGTATCTTATAATTCTTAGAATTTTCTTTTTATTCTCCTCGTCATATTTCGTCAAAAGGTCTTGTTCTTTGTCTACTTATATGTTCCATATATTTCTTGTGTGCTTCGTTTCTTAGTCGTTAAGCCTTTTTCCACTTTTGTCTTTGCTTGACTCCGCTTTTTATGTTTTACTAAAGAAGGAGGAGCTGTTCTTTTGATCACTATTATCCAGATTTAGCCATACGGCTCACATTCCCTCTGAGATATGACGGATTTAGCTGTCCTACTCTATGCACAAACTCAGAAGTTAGATCGGTTTTCATTAGTTTATGGTCAGTTTTTCGCGCTCGCTGTACTCCGAGATATTTGTACATATCATTTTCACCCATTGTCTCGAGGTTTTGGCGATCTTGCATATCGAAACCTCCAGGCTGAACCTTTCCTCTGATTATATTTAGTATACGGCACTTGTCTAGTCCAAAGTGCATACTAATATCATTTGAGAAAGTTTCTACAGTTTTTAGCATCTGTTCTAGGTGGTTTCGAGTGGAAGCCATTAATTTCAAATAATCTTGATCACTATCCTGTGGGAGTTTTTGTTAGTTCTTCTATCAGGCGCGACACCCTGCGAATGGGTGATGCTAGGGGATCACTATTATTATTATCATTGTTATTTAGTCTTTACAAAGAACACTTTCGATGATATGTTTTTCTTTATAAATACCTAAGGGCCTTTTTAAAGATTTATGTAAACAATATTTATTTAATATTTTATTAGCTAACTCGATACATCTCTAAAATAATAGTACTATATAGCAGAAATTTGTATTTAAAAAAAATTAAATACAAACGATGTTGGGATAATTTAACGACCGATTTCAGATTTTTCTTAGTTGCGACTATTTTCTAGGTAACACTTTTTGGAATAGACATTTTTATGGCCCATGCGATGAGTACTGCATTCTATTTAGGCTATTTGCAAGTATTTTTATCGTTTATCGAAAGATTAAAAATCGGAGGAATTGGAAAGAATGGATCCACGATCGCTGTAAGCACTGTAGTGTGAATTTTCTGATTATTTTGTATAGAAAATTCACAATTGGCTTTTTTATATCGTATATATAATATGTATGGAATATTGCTGGTTCTTTTAAATGTTTGCCAATATGAAAAGTTCGTTTTCATAAATATTTTTTAACATTTTTACGTTTTCTAAAAACTTGCACACATTGCTGCACAGTATAGTAAATGTCATTTACAAATTATGGAAACTCGCGCTTAAACTAGATTAGAGCATGTTTAAATTCAAATATGGTTGTATAAATTAATCAAGACATTTTGTCCTCCCCCTGTATACCTTCGATCCCTATTCGTACCGTTCGGGTATGCTATGCATCCCGTAGGACACAAGCGCTTAAGTCGTTGAGCAGAATAGACGCAAGACACAACCCTCGCGAGTGCGTCGATGCATCGAAATCGGTTGGTTTTATAGTAGTGAATTATGGTACCTAATTAGCGGTTCGGTAAGTTCACCTAGTTTAATACCTTTGTTTGTTTTTTGATTGTTTTTGCAACCATTTAAATTTTATATTATTTGTTATTTGCACCTATGAGTGAAAGTTCATTTATCTTGCCAGAGCTATCGAAGGAATAGCTGGTATTATCTTAGTACTATTAATTCGTAATAGTACATTATTTTGTTAAACCCCCACATTGGGCCTATCTCGCCGAATTTGAACTCATTTGTTGAAAAAAAAAAATATTTTGTTATATTATAAATTTGAATGGTTGGTTTCGTCTTATGTCGTATTTTTTTATCGTTTTGAGGGTTGATTAAGTTGCGTCTCTTGTCGAAAGCTATTAACTTCGAGACCCGAGAATAATTTATGACCTTTTAAAGTGCACCATATGGGATTTTTTAAAAGGAGATTATAGTCGTTTTAATAAAGTATCGAATTTCAAATCATTAATTTCGAGCATTTCGGGGTTTTAGACAACATTTGTGTACATTTTTCGTTTGTATATTATTGGAATTTATTAGACATTGGCAATGGACAAGTTAGAAGAGAAAAACAGAAAGCTCAAATTTATGAGAAAGACTGTTTTAAACGATATGCAAATAATATTCGATTTGGGTTTTAAATCGCTCTCGGATATTTCGATCCGACCTTTATTTAAAATCAGGGTGGAAGAATTAGATTTAATACGCGATGAATTCTTGAAACACCACACAAATATAATTAGTAATATTCTTGCTGTACCAGACGCGGATACGAGGGTCGAAGAAAATGTTCGGGAATTATTTTTGGAACAATTTTATAAAATAAAATTATTTAGTGCGGAGTTATTTGAGCCACAATGTGAAACTCCAGAACCGTTTAGGTCGGTAGTAGTTCCAAAATCTAACATTCGCTTGCCTAAAATAGAACTGCCTAAATTTAACGGTGATTTTAAGGAGTTTAGTTCGTTTTTAGATTTATATAATTCGGTTGTACATAATAACGCAGGACTAGCAGAAGTAGAAAAGTTTAAGTATTTGAAAGGATGTTTAGAAGGGACTCCACTTAGTTTGATTCGTAATTTGCCAATAAATAGCGATAATTATCAAATTGCTTACGATTTAATTGTTAAACGCTACACAAATGTTCGTCGGTGTGCGACCGCGCATTGGGATGCGATCATGGGCGTGCCGAAAATATCGTTAGTTAATTCGAAAAATCTGGCTAAATTAGTAGACACGTTTTTAGAAAATTTAGCCGCATTGAAAACATTAGGCCTTCCGACAGAACATTGGGACTTTATTATGTTTAATTTACTTTTGTCGAAACTAGACGCGGATTCAGTAAAATTATTTGAATTAGAAAATAAATCGAATAAAATCCCGTCATTTCAAAAATTAGTTGAGTTTATTGAAACTCAGTACATTGCTTACGATAATTTGAATAGTAGCGTAAGCGAATCTAAGAAGTCGTCGCGGGCCCCAACTTATACGGAGCCTAAGGGTAATTATAAACATTCGAATGAGTCTAGGCATAATCGTAGTTCATCCTTTGTTACAAATTCGTCATTAGTAAGCTGTGCTTTATGTAAGCAAAGTCATTTTCTAAACCAGTGCTCGTTGTTTTTGAAGAAATCTCCAAAAGAGAGATACCAATTTTGTAAAGAATCTTCCTCGTGTTTTAGATGTCTTAATCAGGCTAATCATTCTGTCAAGTCGTGTCCAAAGTCCTTTAAATGTAGTAAATGTAATAGTCACCTTCATAATAGTTTGCTGCACTTCGATAGAAATCGTTCCAATAGTCAGTCGTCCACAGAAAATACTAATAATCCAGGGGCATCGGGAGTCGAACAGAATTCGCCTGAAATATCACATTGTGCTGCTAGTTTTGTAGGGAGGAAAAACGAAACAAAAAAGGAAATCTTGCTCGGTACCGTTTGGGTTCATGCAATTGATAGTAAGGGGTGTAAACAGCCCTTGAGATGTCTTTTAGATTCGGGTTCAATGAGTTCGTTCATTAGTCGAAAAGCTGCCAGTAGATTAGGTTGGCCTAAAACTCCTTGTTCGTTTGAAGTTAACGGACTCAATTCGATGCAAACGAAGCTGAATCAAGGTCAAATAAGTTTTTCTATCCAACCTCGTCATCAGGAGTCACCGGTGTTTCACTTGGAAGCTGTTATTACAGATCGGGTTTGCTCGGATTTGCCGAGCACCAAAATTGACATATCGACGTGGAATTATATCAAAAATTTAAAGTTAGCCGATCCCGAATTTAACTGTAGTCAATCTATTGATTTGTTAATTGGTTGTAGCATATTTTCGAAGGTGTTGTTAGAAGGTAAAATTGAAGGTAAAGCGGGACAACCTGATGCCCTAAATACCGTTTTTGGATATATTTTGTTAGGACCTACTAGCACACCTAATCTTTCGTCGACTTCGCTTGTTTGTCTTTCAAATATTGAAGACCCATTAGATTCTTCATTATCGAAATTTTGGGAACTGGAAAACATACCGGAAAAGCCAGTTTCAGAACCAGAAGACGCTCTGTGCGAAAACATTTATCGGGAAACACATAATCGGGACGTCTCAGGTAAATATGTCGTGTCTTTGCCTTTTCGTGAATCGCCGCCTTGTTTGCAAGATAGCTATGATATTGCTTTAAATAGACTGCTATCATTAGAACGTCGTTTATCTCGTCAACCAAGTTTGAAAAAAGAATATTCTTTTCATATGCAGGAGTATCTTGATTTAGGTCATATGCAGTTAGTCCCTAATGCCGAAAAGAAAAGGGGAAAGTATTACATTCCACATCATTGCGTTGTGAAACCAGATAGTGTTTCAAATAAAATTCGAGTTGTGTATAATGCGTCTCAGAAAAGTCCCAGTCTTGGCAAATCTTTGAACGAATATTTACTGGTCGGTCCTAAGCTACAACAGAACATAGTCTCGCTTTTGTTAAATTTTAGACTTAATCGTTTTGCGTTGTGTGCGGACATTCGTCAGATGTATCGCAATATTTTAATCGCTCCTGAACACACGGATTATCAACGCGTGTTATGGAGATTTTCTAGCCTTGAGGAAATTCAGGAATATCGTTTATTAACTGTTACTTTTGGAATAGTATCTTCGCCGTATCTTGCTTTAAGAACCCTTCAACAATTAGCATTAGACGAAGGCTCTCGTTTTCCTAAAGCCGTCTCGCTTATTCGTCATGCTTCGTATATTGATGATTTTGTTTTTGGTGCTTCGACTCTCGAAGAAGCACAAACTTTAATTGACGAATTAGTTACTTTGTTAAAGTTAGGAGGCTTTGAGTTACGGAAATGGTGTTCGAATGAACCCAAATTGTTGTCGCAATTTCCTGAATCCCATATTAATCCTCATGCCATTAATTTTGATCCAGAAGCAAATGGTCCTTCATTAAAAATCCTTGGTTTGAAGTGGATTGCACAGTCCGACGTCTTTCAATTTTCAGTCAAATTGCAAGACGTCCCTTGTACCAAAAGATCGTTTTTGTCCGAACTAGCTCGAATTTATGATCCTTGTGGTTACCTAACACCTATTACGTTTTTCATTAAACATTTAATCCAACAACTTTGGGCAACCGGTCTTAAATGGGATGATCGCCCTCCTTCGGAAATAATTCGTGTATGGGAACAATATAAGAGCGAATTATCTCTTATTTCACAATTCAAAATTCCTCGTTTTTTGAATATTTCTTCATGTCCCATCTTAGAGCTTCATGGATTTGCCGATGCTAGTGAAAAGGGATATGCTTGTGTCGTTTACATTCGTAGTATTGATACTCGTAACCTAGTTCAAGTCAATTTACTGTGTGCCAAATCGAAAGTAGCTCCTATAAAACAGATTACTATACCTCGATTAGAATTGTTAGCTGCTGTTCATTTGGTAAAACTTATGTCGTTTGTGTTAGAGTCGTGGAAGCATATAATATTTCAAAATGTGTATGCTTGGTTAGATTCTCAAATCGTATTGCACTGGATTAAAAGTTCCCCCTCGAGATTCAAAACTTTCGTCGCAAATCGCATTTCGTATATCCAGTCCTATAGTCAAAATTATTCTTGGCATTATATCGAATCTCGAAATAATGCAGCCGATGCGCCTTCGCGAGGCATGCTACCGGCCGCTTTTCTATCGAAATTAGACTGGTTAACAGGTCCTTCGCTTTTGTATAACATTCCATTAAATTTTCCAGAGGTTCCTCCCTCATTGCAGGAAAAATCCTCTTTGGAAGAGGTAAAGAAATCTTTAGTATTTGTTTCTACTCATGAGGAACATTTTTTGTCTTGTTTACTGAAAAATAAATCGTCTTTTACCTCGATCCAAAGAATTTTGGCTTTTATGTTGCGATTCGCGCACAACTCTCATTATAAAAGGTCGAAACGGTCAGGACCCTTGACTTTCGTAGAATTAGAAGACTCGTTGATTATTCTTGTCAGATTTACACAGGAAAAGTATTTTGAAGAACATCTTCAATCAAACTCTTTTCCTAAACCATTTCGTAAGTTGGGAGTATTTTTGGATGATAG